AAACACTAATTGCCAGAAAAAATGACTAATAAACTGTTGTCCTTTACATGGTCTGATTAGAAAATATCTGGACTTTGAACAGATTCTGTTGTTGACTCCTTGTCTTCAGACTGGTCAGTTAAAACCAGATTGTTTAGTTGATTAGTGTTTTGTGGTGGTGCTGCTGCTTTTTTGACGCTTCAGCCTTGCAGTTAATCGACTTGTCACTTAAATAAAAACAACGGAGCCTCTCTGGCATACAAATCACCTTCTTAAGTCAATCAACTGACAGATCATTCAGATGTTTTTTTGTTTATATATTGATAGATCTGTGCTGTAAGTCTTGCATACTGAAATATATACTGATATCTGAGCTGTGTTAATCAAACTCAGACATCTCTATTGTTAAATTAGCACAAAAAGTACAAAATAAAGTGATTGTTTCTTTATGCTTCTTGACAATAAATCATTGTAAAGCCTGTTTATTTCCTCTGAAATGGTGCCACCTTTGTCAGAAAAAAATCATTTGTGAATTGAGTATGTGCATGAAAAACTTGCCAAAACTCCTCCAAATCCAAGCAGTTCAATCTGCTATTGACTCGTGCTCTGAGTTGTTTATCAGGGTGAATGACTGAAGTCTGAAGAAACAAGACATGCTGGCAAGTTAACAATTTATTCATGTCAGAAACAGAGGGCTGCGGTAGCTCGGTGGTCAGTGTTGTAGTCTTGGAATCTTGTAGCTGCAGGTTTGAGCCCAGTTTTAATATTTGAGGACATGATCTGGAGTAAAAGAGTTGTCAAATCTTTCATGCAAGTTTGCTCAATGTGGTGACCCCTGTAAAAGAGAGCAAAACAATTCATTAGGCAAACAGGGCTTCATTGACATGTGGCAGAACCATATACAGCCACAACAATGTGACATTTATTATATTTTTATTATTATTATTATCTAAATCCTCCCACCGGGAGGAGGCCCCGAGGAAGACCCAGGACACGCTGGAGGGACTATGTCTCTCGGCTGGTTTGGGAACGCCTTGGAGTTCCCCCGGAGGAGCTGGAAGAAGTGGCTGGGGAGAGGGAGGTCTGGGCCTCCCTTCTGAAGCTGCTGCCCCCGCGACCCGACCCCGGATAGGCGGAAGAAAATGGATGGATGGATGGATGGATATTATTATTATTATTATTTTACTTATAAAACTTCTTTGAGTGCTTTAGCTGTATGGCATTTGCAAAATTAGAAGTTTTTCATTGGTTCATCT